AATTTGGATGGGAATAACCTTAACAGTGTTATGAAGGAAAGAAATCTTGATGTAATAGCCGAGCAGTCTCTAAATCCATCCAAGCAATGTGCTGTTGCTAGTGGTAGGGCAAGTAGGATTTTAGCTTTTATCTACAGAAATATTTAATACAAATCTAAAGAGATTATAATATCATTGTATAGGTCACTGGTTAGGCCACATTTGAAATATTGTGTTCAGTCTTGGACTCTTTACTTTAAGAAAGGCATTGAATTGTTGGAAATGGTTCAGAGAAGCATTACTAGAATGGTGCCTGGGATGGAGGGGTTGTCATGTGAGGAGAAGCTGAAATCTCTAATTGTTTTCTCCTGAAAAAAGAAGAAGTGATTGAGGTGTTTAAGATTTTAAAGGGAATTGATAGTGTTTATGCATTATCTTTTTTCATATTTAACAGTGGGAATAGTAGGATTAGTGGACACAAATATAAATTTTGGCAAGGTAGTAGTCATCTTCAGCTAAGACAATTTCATTTCTCTAACAGGCTGGTTGGTCTTTGGAATGGGTTGCCTTCGAATGTTGTAGTGGCAGTACATTTAAGTGAGTTTAAGAAAACGCGTGATAGGTATATGAATGATAAGGTCTGCTTTAAGGTTGTTTGTTTTTTAATTATTTTAATTTAGTTTAGAAGATGGAACAGCTGAGATAGACCAGTAAGTCCTATGTTGTCCCAAAACATTATGTTATAAATAAATGCATACAATACTGTGTAATAAAGTGGTTAGTAATAGTTAGTATCATCAGTCAATACATCAGAAACCTCTGTCCTTAGGGATTAAATTGCCTTAAACCATCATTTGTATACCCTTTCTGTTGACATTATTTTTGGTCATAATTTTAGTAATATCTCTTGAAGTTCAAGCAGATTAAAAGATACACATTAGATCCAAATTTGTGTAATAAATTAACATTGTAGTGTGATTGCTATACCTATATACCTATATTTTTTTGTTGATATTGTTATTTGTATTTTACATCTCTAGGGCCAAATAGCTGTGTCAGGAACCTTGTCAGTATTGTTGGACTCTACACTTTGTGCACTTGGACCATTGATGTGTCTTACAAGCCAAGTTCCTGAGTTGAATGGATGTGAACAGAAATCTCTTGCACAAACCTTAGACAATATTGCTTATGTGATGCCAGGATTGTAAAATTAATTACAAGGAGTGGTAACACCACAGCAGTACAGTTTTTAAATTTGAAAGAAGTTCAATCAAGATTTGAACTGAAACAGTTTTAAACACACACACACGTTACATACTTTCCAGTTTTGTGAAATAAGCACAGGTGGAAAAAGTTGGGTTTTTGTAAATAACTTATTCATAAAATGTTTTGTAAGTTGGTAAACTTCATTACTTCTGCATTGTTTGTGTACTGTTTTGTATAAAATCATCCAATGAAAGATACATCAAAAGTTCTAACTATTTGTGCTAAGTTATAGAAAACAAGAAAATAAGATGAAAGTGCTCAACTTATAAAAATTTACTCATTTTTATGATATTTATAACATGCTGGATAAAAAAAATAGTTCTTTGCTAATGATGTTAGATTGTTTATTAACATAGTTCTGTTTCAATGATATTGTTGAAACATGCCCCTCCTCTTTGTTGTGCTAGTAGCATTAAAAAAGCTTGCCTGTAAAAATTACAATTTATAGTCAACTTTATTCACTAGAAACACAAAATCAAGTTTATCCTGAAATATTATAGTATTAATATAATATTAATATCTATAGAAAGTTAAGACTAGATTTAGAAACTTTGGAGAAGAAACTTTTTACTGTCCACCATTAGTATTATTTTCATTAAATTGAGCTTATATTAAGTTTATATGAGAAGAAAATATTGAAAAATTATCCAGCTTAATTGAAAGTAGATGTCTTAGAACAAAGTCAAAATTTGGTGGGACAGGAGCGATAAAAATTTTAGAAAGAGAAACTTTTCAGCAGGTATCATGAACATTGTTTAGTGTCAAGAAACAAATTAATTATTTTACCTACTTTAGATTCCTTCACCTATCATTTGAAATTACTTCTGTTTCCTCTAAACTGCATGCCTGGGCTGGCAGTAATCTGGCAGGTGCTACACATTGAAAACAACAGGCCAATCACAAATTACTTTTCTGCTTTTAAAAAGGAATGGCTTTTGGAATTTATGGAAACCGAAACTACTTATGGTTTTGAAAGTAGTGCTCAGAGGAGTTGTTAGTCTACCTAGTACAAATAAAAATTAGAATGAACATTAGTGTATATATTCATGTGTGATGATAACTAATACTCCTAAACCACAACTTTATATAGGAGTGTATTTTAATCATAATCACCTGGAAAGATAGATGCAATCAATATTAAATGATTTACAGAAAACGTTTAGAAACAAATTAGATCACACATAGTAGTTACATAAACAACATACTTGTCCTTTTTTCTTTTCTAGGGGCAGATTTTTAATATAATTTAAGTAAATAAATACTTATTGGATGATAATTATATAAGTCTTTCTTATTTATAAGGATCTTTATGTAAGGTTAGTCAGCATTACCTCAATATCTTAATTCATTGTTGGTCTCATTTTCTCAAGTCATTTCAAAAGTATGCTTTTGCCCAGTAGTCAGGTCCTTATTCTGTGAAAATGCAAATGTCAAAAGCAAAGAAAAGCTGCAATAGAAACATCTTCATTTATCACATGAAGAAATTTCTGCCGTATCTATTTTCAGTCAGTCTTCCCCCACTTTTGTTCTCTTAATTATAGTTATTTATCAAAAACAGAACATTACAGCCACATCACTTCCTCATACTTGTTATCAGAAATCTATTCTGAATATGTTTTCTCACTGCATACTGTATAGTGACATAGGAGTTCCTCTCTTTTTTTCTTTTTTTTTGAACAGTTTATGTTTCTTAGACAGTTATACACACACACACATTTTTTCATCATCGGTCCTTTCTAAGATCTCAAGCCAATTGGAGTGAACAACAATGCCTCATTCTCTTAGGACATGTTCAAGTTTGCTTGAATTATTGGGGGATTTTGGGTTAGCATATTCTTTAATTCACATTAACACTTTTCTTTTAGTAGAACAAATACAGCCTTGCTAACAATAAGGAGCAGTAAATGTATGAACTCCAAATGATGAAAGTAAAATCATAATTTTGTCCTTAACTCTAAAGAAAAAACTGTAGGTAACAATTAAGTTTAAAAACACATCTTAATTGTACTTACGGATACACCCTTGAAATGACGTTTTTCAAAACTCATTCTTAGTGATTGAAGACTATTTATTCATGTAGGGTAGACTGATAACACTACAAACTGAATTTCAATACCCGTTGTGGGCACAGTATAGATATCCCATTGTCTAGCTTTGTGCTTAACAATAAACATTCGGTCACTTTGTTTATTTAAGTAATTACGAAATATTCTATAAATTACAAAAATTGGAAAATTATTTTTACACAAGAATTCCTTGATGTCATTAGACTCTCTTGCAATATCTCATATATGCTAGATAATTTATATACATGATGAGAATATATTTTCGACTAAATTTTCTGTAAGAGTATTTGGAATGAAACTTGCAAAGTCTGTGAATGTTTTCCTATTGTATAATTCACATTCAAATTGGCCATTGTTATTGGTAACTAAAGTGTCCAAAAATGAAAGTATAGGATGCTACTGATGTACAGTGAAATTCATGCTATAATGTCTGTTATTCAAGTAGTGAATAATTAGAAAGCTTGATTGCAGTTTTTGAGGATGGTGAAGGTGTCATCAATATACCCCAATAATAGAAGGGTTTAAACTGTTGTGGGCAATTTTCTAGCCATTGGCTTTCTTGAAAACACATAAATAGATTGGCTAAAGAGAGCACCAACCTTGAGCCCATAACAATGCTGCCAATCTATCGTACAACTTTCCCTTCAAAAGAAAATAAGAATTTCTAGTGGCAAAGTTCATTAATTTCAAATTCACAGATTTCTCATATAGATGGATGTAAATCAGATCAGTACTTAGCTTCTAAAGGTATATTTATATAGAATGTTTCTACATCAAAACTGGCACAGTGTGCATTACTTTCAAACTTGAAATGTTTTATTTCACAAGAAAAAACTTTTTTTTATATATGTATTCATTGGTGGTAAACTACTTTAAGGAATTCAACTAAGAAACCAATTAATGCACAATTGTAGGTTTCAATGTTAGAAACTATTGCTTGCAAAGGAAATATTCCTTTATGAATTTCAGCCAAAACTTGAAACAATACCTGAATGACTTCCTTATGATCTAATATTCAGATATTGTTTTTCATTGAGAATATCATAGTTTTTTTATTTCAGTAGGTATCTTTATAATTAAGCTTCCCTGTTATTGTTAAGATCATAATGCAGCTTTTCAATTTTAATAGAATCATTTACGATATCTTCTGCTTTCATTGAATAATCATCTTTTTCTAAAATTATAATACAATTTTCTTTTGCTAATTTGTAAGCAACAATATTATCAGTTTTTCTTAAAATTTTCAAAGCTTTAAATTCTTCAGGACTTAAATATAGAAAATGCTTGTATTCAATATTCTAACTATAAATAGTAATCAACAATATACCAGTGATTTGATCTCTAATACTACAAGAAATTGATAAGAGGTACTACAGATGGATTGAAGAGACAATAATTCAAATAAACTGCTCAAACTGTAATAAATAATCCTTAAACTTAAGCCTCTTAGTGATACAAAATTTCAGACCATGAGCTAAACTTTTTCTTTAAACTTCACTCAAAATGTGCCTTGAATAATTAAGTATGGCATCATAAGGATATTTAAAAATGGATTTTTTTTACCTTACTGTAACCTCAAGATGTTTATCTTAACCAAAAGGTTTTTTTCTAATCTGTAAAAGAATTTTATTCTGTGATTCAGTAAAGTTTGTTTAAAATGTATGAAATCCAAACTACAGACTTGGTTTTGTAACTGAATTTTTGGTAATTGCAAAATTAGATAATTCAATTCAATAATTGCTACAGCGTGTTTTTATATTCAGTTGCCACTTTGTGCTTGTATTGTACATTGCTATCAGCAGACATATAATGATCGAATGATAATAAAGATAATTTTTCAGTTGCAACTTATTCATAGCAGTATATTGGAAAAAAATTCCGTGTGTTTCTAAACGTCTCTCTTACTATTTGACATTTGATTAGTTTGATGAATTTTTGATGAACTTGGATTTCTTTATGTCATTGTGCACTTTTCATTATTGTTTCTGAGATATGAATGAGGTTAATTTGAATCTTTTACGTCATTGTGCACCTTTCATTATTGTTTCTGAGATATGAATGAGGTTAATTTGAATCCTTTACGTCATTGTGCACCTTTCATTATTGTTTCTGAGATATGAATGAGGTTAATTTGAATCCTTCATTTTTAGAATCTGTCTTCAAGGTATTTTGTATGTTTGGAATAAGAAGTTTTAAACTGGGATTTTTATCTGGATCACACGTCACTACATCTAACCCATAAGATGTCATTTATCCAGGGAATTGAAATGTGTGCCTTTGTACAAATGTTCTTACAGTTCAAGTGTTGTAGCACACTTAAGTTACAGAAAGTTTATGTATAATAGCTTTGAGCATTTAAGGATTGTTAAAGTACATCGTAGAGATAGTTTATAATGTGTGTAGGACAGTTTTTAACATGTTTTAGATTTAAAATTACATTTAATGTAAATTTTATTTTTCAGATGTTTTGATGAAAAATGTCAACAAAACTTGTTATAAATACTTAGTTTCAAGAATTTCTGCTATTTATGATTATCATTTGTGTTTAATATTTTGTCGTTGCATGTAGTTGGATTTAATTGTTTTGTTCAATGTGTATCATTCCATGTTAACTGACTTATCTTATTCATTCAGCAGTTTTTAGATGTAACTCTTATGTGCTTGTGTTACAAACCATTCATTGTGCCACATTATTTTTCTTTCCTTTGTAAATAAACGTTTTTATGCAACAACCAGATTGACTAATTAAGAATACAATTTTTACTTTTCCTATACTATGTAGATATAAAAAAATCAGTTATTAGTTACTGTTTTTCTGCATTTTAAGTTCTTTGATACATTCATAAAGAATAATATTGTAATTTTAACTGCAGGATATGATCTAAATATTACATTAAAAAGATGTTTTTATTTTCATTCTTAATACGATCGATCAAACAAAAGATTTAGTTATTTGTATAACTTTTCAATCTTCCCAACTCATCATATTCATGTTTATGCATTATAGGTAACTAAAGGCATGAATATAAAGACATTACACCCTGTATAAAAAATCGTATTCATGCTTTATTGTTTGTTTACATAACTAACTAAATTTTCCTATATAAAATAAAACTGAAGTAACTATATAATCTCAATGATATCTCACAAGGTTTAATCAGCTAAGGAGATTTAGGTTAGTTTTAAAAAGTGAAGTACACGGGGAAGTGGCTGGGTAGGATCAAGCCCCTGCCTTTTTGCACCGAAAGTGTCCTTTTTTTTCAGCTTTAAGAAATTAACAACTAAAAGATACAAGTGATTCCACATCTTTCTTGCAAGTTATTAGAGGGATTTCAGTTTTAAAGTGAATGGGCTCAGGGACTTGTAGGTCTTTACAATAAAACTTTTAAAATAATAATAATTGTGATACATTATTAAGTGGTAATACGCAATAATTCACTGTTTAGCTTTAAATGTTAAAAGTGTGTTTTAAACCAAATGAATAGGAAAAGTCCACATATTAAACTAACAATGCAAAATAATACATAAAATTATATAGACGAATTAAGTTTAAAACTACAGCCTCAGTTTTTTTGCAAAATTTCTGTGCAATCCCACGCTACAGTAGATATAATTTGCAATACGTTTATAGTGGAGTCATAACAGGGGTTTTGTAGCTTGGGCAAACTGTCAGCAGTAGATTTCCAGCCATGTTTGCTTAGTTTCTTTGCAATTCCTATTTGTAGATTTTAAGATCTCAATTTTTAATTGTCTCATATGTTGGTTTTTTTAATGCACAACAGTGGGCAAATATATGCCTAGAGTAAGACACAATCCCCACTAATCAAAACAAACAAACCATTTGTGTTTTATTTTAAATCCAAAACTTCATACCTGCTAATAATAATAATATTATAACCTTTAAGGAAACAAAAATTTTATAAATGTTAAATATTTTTTTATAAATTATTTTTTCGTAAGTTATTAAGAGAGAAAGTATGATTTGATTGTTATCATAAGTATCTTCTGCTTGACCCCCCTTTTTTATACCGTTGTTTTGTCTTATTAATTTCCCGTATAATTTCTTCCCGAGGAACTTCAGCGATACAAGTCCTTTCTTAAATAAAACTAGTTTATTCTTTCTCAATACACTTAATTTCCACAGTCACTTTAACTTAAACACACACTATAATTCACAACGATTCACGCACTTTACGTACGACTTGACTCATGCCGTCACTTCTTTTGCGGCTTACATATACAAAAATAGAGGGCGCATAGAGAAGACTAAAGTTGCCACGAACAGACAATATCCTTCTAGAATTTCATGACGTGTTACTAGGGTCACGTGACTTCCGCTGTCGTAATACTTTCTTTGGCGGCTATATTGAGAGTATGAGTTGTATAAATTTTTAATGGATATAAAGAGTTCTGAATTTCTTGATGAAACTCCAGATATAATAAAGCCCCTTCAAAAAGGAAATAAAATTATAATTGAGGTCCATTATGAAGGCGATGACAAGGGAAATGCTTTTACGAGTATCACATCTATACAACAATAGAAATTTTGTTTGTTTATTTCATATTTTATTAAATACAAGAATGCAAGTCTAAATAGTTACCTTTCCCCTTGTTTACTCTCTATGTTCGAGCAATAAAACTTAAATCAAAAGATACGCCTGTCCTTTAATGGTTACGTGTATTTCACTAGCTTTTGTTTTGTATGTTTCTTTATGTCACAGGTTTTCCTCTGTCCCCGCGGGTGACATTCTTTAAATACTATTTATTAAATCTGTAGCACACGATGAAAGTTGAAACTATCGTTCATTTTGACGTGACGGGCGTTTCATAGTGCTTATTGTGCCTGAAATGTGAATCTAAGGGTTCATGATTCGCGTACTGTAGAAATCATGGGTGCGTTAAAAGAGTGATTGTGAAACCCTAATATTCGATTAGAGTAGCCCAAAAAGTTAGGAATGAGTACTATTGACTAGCTTCTTTCTGTTTAGTCTGTCCGTTAAACATTAGGGAAGGTTAACACAGATGATCCGTGTCCGGAACAGACACATTTAGTATATACTAGTTGAATTATCCGTTCCCTGAACAGGTGGCCAAATTATTTGAAATAAGTATTTCCAAAACACAAAGAAACTTCTTTTAAGAACATTTACCTAAAAAATTTCAATTTTTATAGCATTTTGATTTCTATCTAAATCTTTGATTCCCAAGACAAAAATTACACAATCTAAATTAAAGCTTTTTGATATTGAGAATCATAATGATGATGCCAAATGTAATCATTGCCTTCTTCTCTCTCTTTCCTCTTCAGTTTCTCTCAAACTTCTTGCTAGAGCTTCCTCCCTTATTTCTTCAAGCTCACCAGTGGCACAGCGGTATGTCTGCGGACGTACAACGCTAGAAACCAGGTTTCGACACCCGTGGTGGGCAGAGCACAGGTAGTCCATTGTATAGCTTTATGCTTAATTACAACCAACCAACATTCCTTCAAGTCTTTCATTTTAAAGTTCAGGCAGATTATTGTGCACGCATTTCACCACTTCTAACTCTTGCAGCTTCAAGCCTTACTTCTATTTATATCCTGCGATTTATTTTCCTCCTATCTGTTTTACTAACTATCAGCTTTTCGCCTTGCTGCTCTTTCCTCCTATGATTCATTTCTTCTTCTTCTTTCTGCTTTTCTTGCAGTCTCCGAACTATTTTTTGATACAGATATTGATGTGGCTTTTCTTGGCATTTTAAAGAGTAAGCATACATATTACTTTTCTCCTAAAGGGTTAATAATCAAATGAGATCTAAGAGTAATTTACATTGAATTTTATACCAAGGGAAGTGATCAATTCTTTATATCAGTTCCTTGTTAGAGAAGTGATAAATTCTTCATATCAGTTCCCTCTTAGAGAAGTGATCAATTTTTCATATCAGTTACCTGTTAGAGAAGTGATCAGTATAATTAAGTACGGAACATCAGTTCATCAACTATCCTTCTTTAAAACAAAGAGAGTATTTTTTAAGTGTACTATCTTCGTTACAGCTACACTTTTAAAAATAGGACAGTAGTCCACTACTTCTATTTCGAATGAAAGTTTTTAATGGCCAAAGTATCTTTGATTTTTGAAAACAAAGTCACTTTCGACAATTCAATAATTTTAAACTTCGCGATTGTTAACGGAATATCTCTGAAAGTTAAAACACGTTAAATACTCCTCGCACTTTGCCTTTTTTTTATTTAACCACCCTCATAGAGGGGGCATATACGTAAAAACGGTACAGATAAAACAAATAAATATAATATACATACAATCATATTAATGATCAAAACATCAAAATAAACTAATTACTCATGAAAAGTCTTATGTGAAACGTGCAATATGGATATACCCCCGAGATTCACGTTCTACCAACTTAGCAACAGTACAATATAAAAAAATATAAACCGTCCAAATTTCTTTTTCGGAATACTTAAATAAAAATATCTTTTTTGACCTCACTTTAACATAACATAAAAATGAATAAATTGCCTTTCTGACAAAAATACCACTTCGCTAATAAACTAAAAGTACGACATAATTGCGCATAGACCTCAGATATACCCTCAAAAAGAACCGACCAAAGCACTTTAACATAACATGAAAATTAATAAATTGCCTTTCTGACAAAAATACCACTTCGCTAATAAACTAAAAGTACGACATAATTGCGCACAGACCTTAGATACACCCTCAAAAAGAACCCACCAAAGCACATAAGACATTTCTCACGATCTGCAAGTACACGAACCACCACGTTTGAAATTAAATAAAAACAAACTTCCACAATTGGTAAACTTTATTACACTGAAAAAATATATGAGTAATAAGTTCTAATGATAAAAAGAAGGACAACCCGTTGGATGGAAGTACATATGAAACAATTTCACATTTGTTGTAACTGCATGATGCCAAAGTAAAAAATCTAACTCGCATAACTTAAACCTAACAAAAGGATCAAAACATGACATAATTTTTCCATTCAGTAGATAATAGGACAAAACTTCAAAGGTTATGGACTACCGAAGGTTGCATACGAACATGTAATATATAATAGATGTACTCCATAGACAATCCCCTCAAAAAGAAAATATCCATCTTCAGAGGGCTTATAATCAGACAAAGAAACCCTCTGTGAAGAGTCAAACATTGGCAACTGAGAAAGAAGAACCCTCCAACTCTCGGGAAGATCAGAATGTAAAACCTCTAAATGGGAAATAATAGTGCTTGAATTAACAGAAAATTAACCTACTTAGCACAAATCAACACTGACCTCTTCTGTAAAAACCGTGGAACCATCTCATACAATTCCAGCGTCTATAAACTCCTTAAAATAAAGCAAATTTCTTTGATTATCAGTCAGTAATGCATTATGAAACAAGGACTGATTAAAAATAACTCTTGAATCAGAAACAGGATCAATAACAGACCCGCCAGTAAAAAGAATCCAACCCGAAATATTTCCTGAATAAACGAATTTAAAGGCCGTAAAAGCCACCATAATTTGACATCTCAAATCCAACCCCCAGACTCACATAGTACCAAGAAAGTAATCTGTTAATGAACCTAAAACCTCATGATAATCCCAATTATCACATTTCTGCAATAATTTCAAGCGAAAAAGTATACTTAAGCAAAAGCAAATCACTTAAAAATTAATAACCCCCTCTAACCAATGTTATATTAAGATCTCATCCCGAAGTTTATAA